CCCCAAAACCCCAAAACCCCAAAACCCCAAAACCCCAAAACCCCAAAACCCCAATTAATATAATTTTATAGAGATCTAATTAATTCTTGTTAACATTTTTAAAGCTGTTGCCATACATTTCGATAATGTTGGCATACATAGGCATGGACTCAGCAAATGTTTTAGAGACCTTCGGAGCGGTTGGGATCTTAACAACCGCCTTGTTCGATCCATTCATACTTGGCAGATTACCAATTCTCCCTTTATTTTCTCATTTTGGCCTAGAAATTAGAGATTTCATTACTTTTCATCAGATTCTTGGGAAGTCAGATTGTCGTACATCATTTTACTTGGGTTTGAGAAATCATTATGGTCGTTCTGGTCCGTTGTGTACTTATAACTTGAGTCATCCCCAAAGATAGAGTCATCATCCTTTTTACCCATGAAGTTAAAATTGTTCTTAAAAGCGTTGGAGTACATCTTTACATTGCCAAGTCTTTCCTGAGGCTCTTCATCTTTAATTGCAGGTTTAGGGTCTTCTTCATGCTTCATGACTGGTGGTAAGATCTCTTGTAGAGGCTTCTTCTTCACCACAGGAGGAGCAGGTAAGGCCTTTAGCTTCTGAGGATTAGGCTTTTGTGGAGCTGGAACATTACCATATTGGTTCTCAATATATGCTTTCTTAAAGTTCATTGCAAATTTTCTCTTCTCACCCTCTGTGAATTTATTTGAATTAGCTTCATTTTGGAAGAAAGAATCCAGGAACCTTTGAATCCTGTACTTCTCTTCATCAACAGATGGAGCTGGATTTTTCTTCTTTGGGAGATTATTTTTAATTCCAAGCCTCTTCATTGACGCCTTTCTGTCTTTGGAGTTTAGACGAGTTTTTGAAGTATTCGAGTGAGAGGTATTCATCTTCCTTGCATTGTTCTTGTGACTTTGACGAGACCGATTTCTCTTATTCTTCCTAATTTTGATATCTCTCTGTATGTGATTATGAGTCTTGTTCACTGAATCTTCTTTAACCACAAGTGCTGTGCTTGTCACTGAAGTCTTCCCTCTCTTGAGAGTATTAGCTCGAGGAGTAACAGTGGTCCTTGTTGTTGCAGAAGGAGTCCTTTTAGCAATAGCATGCTTAGAATGGACTGATTGGATTCCCCAAGGAGGGAGGTTCTCTTCAGGCTTATAAGCTCCTTGCTTTTTATGCTGAGATGCCACAGTCGGAGTCTCATAGAGCATTAAAGCCCGAGAGTTTTCTGCTATCGCCTTCCCATTCTCTGAACTTATTTGAGAATCATTAGGAGTCGGCTTCCTCTTTGCTGGATAGTTGATAGGGTGAGCGCTATTCAGAGATTTTGGAGTCTCATTCTGAGATGAGGCTTTAGTTGTAGAAGGAACATTTTTCATATGTCTAGCTTGAGGACCCTTACCACCAGCCTTATGTTCCATACCTGTGATAGATCTTAGAGGAGGTTTAGGTGGTAAGTTCTTTTGAGTTTTTAAAGTTGCTTTTGGCTTTTGAGCATCAGCAGATTTGAAATTCTTTGGTTTGTTCTCATTTTCTTCAACATCAAGCCTCTTCTCTAATTCTTTTGCTTTAAGTTGTTTCACTCATTCAACAGCTTTATTTTCACTCATTTTTGTAGTCAGAGTCTTCTGCGGAGTAGGTGCATACTTTGATTCTTCTCCATCCTCTTCAGCAATTGGCTCAATATGAACTTGATCTAATAGTTGTTCATATTTGTCATTCGATACTTTTTCAAAATATTTTTCATTCTCAGGGTCTGTTCCACTACTATCAGAATCAGAGTCATCTTCAATAGAAAATCCTTCATGATTGCTTGCATTAGGATTGCTCATAATTAGCTTATAGGTCTGGTTTCCTTCTTCAATAAAAGAATCCTCATTGGATTGATTTCCTTGAGTCTCAAATCCTTTCTGGTTGTTCTTATGCAAATTTTCGAGAATTTCCTTTTCTTGTGCCATATCAACTTGACTCACAATCTCACTTTTATCTGCAGATTTCGAATTTTCTGATGGGTCTAAAAATGATCAAGTAAGATTACCTTTCTCTGGAGCTGCATTCCGTACAAGAGCGTAGAATCCGTTTCTTAGAGGGACAGTTTTGCTACATTTTTCAATAACATTCATAATGGGTGTAACTCTTCGATAAAGCTCAAAGTAAGGCTTTAGTAGTTTCCTGATGAACCTTCCTCTGGCCCATTTTTGAATAGTAATAGCAGCTTGAATGAATCTCTCTTTAGAATCATTTCCACAAGTCCTGACTAAATCTTGCATCTGGCTAAGGGTATCCTTAAGGTTAGACCAGCCTCTGGCTGGAGAAGATTCTACGCTTTGTGCTACCTCTTGTTGTCTTTGCTTTCTTAGATAATTAACATACCTTTTGGCAAGCCAAACTCTTGCATTTTTCTGGATGATAACTGCATAGGTATGGATTATAAGATCAATGTCTACTTCTTGCGCATCTTTGTACTGTCACTGCTCTTTCTGTTGTTTTACAGTGCTCATCTCCTGCTGATAGTTAAGATAAGCCTCAAGTTTTGACTTTTCAGCCTGAATTTTGTCTAATTTTGCCTGCTGGCGTTTCAGCTCATCAAGTTTGGTGCAGTTCATGCTCATAATCGAATTAGAATATGAAGAAGTGGTCAAGTCGGGTTCAAATCCTACATTTTAAATAAAATTAACAAAACGTACGATTGTGGGTCTCTTTAAATTCAAATTTTTCTTTCTTCTGAATGCTTCTCTCTTCGATATCATCCATTTGGTGTACCAACTCCTTATCTCCAAAACCCCCATCTCCATCTATCTCTTTCTCCTCTTCACTACTCCTCTCCTTTTCCTTCCTTTCACTTTTAGGAAGATAAGCTTCTCCTTCTCCTTCACCTCCAATATCAAGATTAATCAAGTTTATATATTTGAGGTGGGTTCTTCGGGATTGGGGGGTTGTTGGGAAGTGCTATGAGGAGGTTATGGGAAGAGGCTTACTTTTTGGGAGGGGAGGGGATTTGAGGGTCTTTGAGGCTGGTTTTACTGCTTGTAGAGATTAAGGGTTGGTGGTCATTGAAGGTGTTGAGATTTTTGAATGGGGCAGAAGGTTTGGATGGAGCTGGAGGGTTATTTTGAACCGAATGGATTTTTGCAGAAAGCAGGCTTGCTGGTCAGGCTGGGTTTTGAGTTGGTAATAGGTTTATCTCTTGAATCCTTTTTCTGAATTTTCATAGGCAATTCGGCACCTAAAACAAATCTATAACCTAAAAATGCTTACGATTATTTTGTCCATTAGGAAGATCTGAGGAGAAAGAAGACGGATTTAAATTATTAGGTTCCAGAACCTTCAAGATTTCTTCTTGCTGGATTGAGAAAGCACTATCCATTTTTGTCTATAGCATATTATCAATGGTACAAACTCTATTGGTAGTCTTCAGAAAATATTTTATTATTTAAATTTAGTTTCAAAAATATATTGCTATTTAGGGGTTTTGGGGTTTTGGGGTTTTGGGGTTTTGGGG